GTATTGTCATCCTGCTATAGGTAGACATTAAAACCAAATAAATAATATTCATGGGTCAATATTTCTGTATATTCAACTTGCAGCTAGGCTTCACTAACACGGAAACTATTTTTAGCCTCCACGTTTTTATAGTCCTAATCAAGTCTACCTAAAGTCTACCTTTAGAATAATATATTTTTACCTTGCTCTTTTCTAAATTTATCCATTTTTTATATGTAGCTTTAAATTAATAGTTCACCTTAAAATGATAAATATTATGAATATCTAAAGTGAGGAAAACGCTACACTAGCGATGATATATTTTTGTGGTAGACTTAAGGTAGAGACCTTACAAATGTTAAGATCCGTAAGAATTTCTTGCAATTTCATTTTGGTGTATATGAGCAGCTCAAAACGATGAGCTCCCATCACAAAATTCATACTGCACAGAAATATGGGTTTGAACTAATATTCCCTAGGTAGACATTAGGTAGACAATGAGAAGAGATCTTTCAAAACTATAAAACCTGTAAGAACATATACACATGGGGCCTCCATCTGAAAGCCAACACGCTCAAGTCTCCCTGTGAGAAAAGTCATTCAGTACAGTCTACCTCCCAAATGGATGCGTTTGAATAAGTCTCCCTGTGGTGTGTGTGTTACACAATCAAACTTATTTCTGTCCAATCCGAATACACTTGCTCAGAATTTAAGAACTTACCTTACTACCTTCAGTGTATCTTTCATCTTTATCATTCAGTCCTATTGGCAAGCTAGATTGGCGTGCATTGCTGGCTTCGAAGCATTTGCCAGTCGTATGAGTAACGCAAGGTGGACGAAAAACTCGAATCGCATAGAAAAGGAATTAGAAATAATGAAGTTATTAAAGGAAACTGAAATGAATCGACCTCTTTCAATTTACCAATTCTTTGATAAATTATAGGTTTAAGTAAAAATCTTTAATGTAAACTTGAAACAATATTTGTGAACAAATGAATGTTCAAATGGTTGAATACGAAAAGGGAACGTAAATTTTGAGATATTATTATGACGAGTATTTTATTATTTCAAAGACATTCTAATACATTTTTAAATTCAAGAAAATTGTGAATCTGAATTCATTTGGATTCATTAAAAATGGCTTCAGCAACGGTCCAGACAAATGCTTGCGCTTCTTTGGCTGTAATTTGGATGAAACTTGGTGGCAAAACGTATCCATAACGTCCAGTGTCACGCAAGTTTACTGTATAACTGTACTTAATACCAACGCTCCTGGCCCATTCACTTGCAAAACCCGATGGAATAGAATTAAACAACGACAGTCCTGTTCCTGCCTTATAATTTTTATTGTCTACCGCTTTCATGCGCTGCAATACCAAAAATGTATTGTCATTTAAAAAAATTGATTCAAATGAATATAAGATTTACCTTTGCGCCTTCTTTGCCGACACGTTCCGCATCTTTATCCCCCGAGTACATTACGTATTGACCATAACTTTGGAAACTGATGAAAGCTTTGCACTTTCCTTTTAATTTTCCTTGCACGAACTTTTTAACGGCCGATGATTCGCATTCCGAAAAAGGCCTTGGACCACCATACGTATCGTCACTTGAATTACAAGTTCGATTTCCCCATTCAAAATCATAGTTTCGATTCACATCAACTCCAGCGGAACTTCCTTGGTCGGTCGGTGAACGATTCTTTCTCCAAAAACGATCAAACTGGAGACTGAAATCGTAACCCTCAGGATTTTGAATGGGTAAAATATACCAGTCAATATTTTGAATATGTGGTTCATTCCAGTTTTTAATCAATTCATTTGCAATGAAAGTTACTGCAGCTACGCTAACCATTTCACAACCATGAATGCCACCATCAATCCAAACTACTTTATTTTTTGGATTACCATTCGATATTCTATAACCGAAAAGAGTGACGATTAGTTTTCATTGAAAATGTCAACATGTTTTCAACAACAATCATTTCATACTTTATCAATTCAATTTTTTTCCCCTTATGCGTGAAATCTAAAATAGTGTGCACTGAACAAATCTTGGAGTTGAATGCCCGCAAATGGTTCAAAAATGAAAAAATATCCAAAAGAGGATGATAGGCAATCCAACTCAAATAGTGACCTAAATAAATTTTTCGAAAACAATTTAAACATTAAATACAATTAAATCAATACAAAATATTGATATCTCATTTTATCTTTGTTAATTTTCAACTATCCACATACCATTTCGTTTTTTTTCTGCTCTCAGTTCCGCCTCTGATGGATTATCAACGAGCCATTTGTTAACTGTCTTCCGTGCGTATTCTATTGTGGATTCCCAATCAGGCGTTTTAGATTGTGGAAGTGACATACCTTGATAAAAGCAGATAAATGTTAACCAATCAATTAAAAAAATCATCATCAGCAAGAATTCAATAACAAGTGGCATTCAGTAAACATGTGAATTAGCAGTAAAAATGATCAAATACGTTTAATTCTTTTATATTGATCGTAATTTTGTTTGTGAAAAATATTTGTCATAACATTTACCTGCATTCTTAGCGAGTTCTAGTGGAGTCGTGCCATCGCAAGATTCGAGATTTACATCAGCACCATTGTTAACAAGCCATCCAGCCATAGTTTTGTTACCTGAATGTATATGAGTTATTCGCACATTTTTTAATTATTCGATCCTATTTAAATAATACCTTTTAAAATGGCTACATTGAGTGCTGTCTCTCCGCACGGATTTCCAAAATTAATATTCACTCCTTGGCCAATGAGCTTCTGTACTAATTTCAAGTCACCTAGTTGCGAAATAGTTAAATGGATTCGAAATTAACGAAAAACAAAAATAATACATTCGATTCGTTAATTTACCTGATTCGACTGCGTCGAACAGTTTATGACCTACGAAGAAAATTAATAAAAATGAGTGACGAATCGAATATCTGTATGATGGAATTTGTATTAATTATGATGGTTTCTGATCAACACATTTTTACACGTCTGTATTCGTTTTTATTTTGGCGCATAGAGAATTATTTATTTGGTTTCAAGCTATGACAGTTCATTTACCCTAGATCGAAACTGCCTAGATAGAGAACGGCCAATTATAGATTGTATTCGATTTTGTTTTGATCGAGAAAATTCACTTTGATCGTATAATCAATAATATGGATCTATTTTATTAATTACCCAAGTAATTACCTTTCTCTGCTGCTTTCAATAAACATGGGCGTAGATTTTCTGAAAATAAAAAATCATTTTCATTTAAATAAATGTGAAAAATATTTAAAAAAATCGTATATGAAAAATAGGATAATAATAATTCATACCTATGCTTATAGTGCACAGTTTTAGTGGATATAATTTGTTTAAATTGGGAGCATGAATGTGGGCTCCTCGATCAATAAGCAGTTCAATCATCTCAAAAAAATCTGAAGAAGAAAACAAAGTTATTTCCAATATTTTCGTTTTCTGCCCTTCTCTTTCTTCTTAAGCTATTGAATACTGCCGAATTTACATCAATATAATATTTATTATATTTAACATTACCGTGACTGCAAGCTATGTGTAAGGGTGTATTAAAATAGTTGTCTCTTGCATCAATTTCCGCATTATTTTCAATGAGCATCTTTGCCGCTTCAATATGACCTGAATTAAAGCCAAATTTTATTTAGATTCAACGATCAAAAGAGATTCATCGAAACTAACCATTTTCAGCAGCCCAATGCAGCCCAGTCATCCCGCCATTATCTCTTTCGTTGACATCAACATGACTGGTAATGAGCTTTGACAAACCGATTAAATCATCTAAATGAAATAAAGATTGAATAAAGAATTGGAAAAATTGTTCATTATTTTTATCGACTGCAATGAAATATACTTTTTTTGACTGCATCGATAACTTCTTTTCCTAAATAAATGAAAATATAAAGTTGGTAAATTGAATATCGAACGAAAATATGTTTGAAATGAAGAGAAATCTTTATTTACCCCGAGGTGTCCGGCGAGAGTTTTGATTGAGAGTTTGTCCATGCAACATTGATTTTACCTTAAGCGATGGCAAGTTCGTTGTGCTAATGCGTGCACGAGCAAATTGAGATTGTATATTTGTACGCGTGCACATTTTTGAGACCACACAACGGTCAATAAATTGCGCTGTGGATATGAAGGTTGGCTTTGCGACCGTGAATTGTCGGGCAACCGAATTTGAGGGAGCCGCCCCACTTTGAATCACCTTTTTAAGCAATAAAAATGAAAATTGAATATTTGAATAAAACACCATTGACTTCGATCTCACATTTAAACAACTGTCAATCTCTTAAGCTTATGGATATTTATCAGTAGTAAATTGAAACCTTATACGCCATTTTAATCATATCGTCGTAAATAATTTCGGAAAAGTGTGATTTTATACAAAAATTAGTAAAGATACTCACGTGATACTCAAACACAGCCAATACCATGACAATTTTAAAAATATGACTCATTTTTACGATCGAAGAAAAAACTTTCAAAATACAAGAAATTTACTATTGAACCGAATGGTTGCAAATAAAGTTCGTCTATAACTTCCTGAGGTCGATATCTGTTTCTTTTATAGAGATCTCATTACACATAACATTTTGTTATTTTGTTTTTATTCATAAAAATAAAATGCATAAAAATATAATAATTAAAGAGATGATGAAATTGAAATTTCAATTGCATCACATACGTGTATCACTTAAGAATTTTGAACAAAAGCTTTAATAGCTGCTTTTAAGGGGTATGGTTATTCATATTGACACCTGTTCAAAATGTTGAATCCACTTAGTTTTGAAGCTTAAACTTTATTTCTTGAATACATTCTGGTTCGGTGAATCTTCAAGCTAAAACCACGATTTCCGTAATAACCAATAAGGCAGTATACACACGTATTGAACTACACAAAGTCAAATGTGAGAATTTTTTTTCGTCATTGGTGCCGCCATGCCTGATTAGAGAAGAACTACGACAATTAAAATGGCAAACCAGTGAGTGGCTGTATTTCAAACCATTGTGAAATTATTCACACCAAAACACAGAAAATTGCGACTAATAGACGGAGTTCCAACGAACGCATTTTTTAAGTTTTTCTCCATAATTCTATACTTAGGTCTTTTTTTAATGTACCCTATAACAGTATACAAAGGTAATAACTATCTTTGTTTTACATACTCTTTCGGCAATGAAAGTATAAGTCGTCTCCCAGTTGAAACTTAAACAATTGTAATAGCTGCAGTGATTTCCCCCTTGTAATGACCTCAAAAATATAAGTATCTAATTTTTGACGGTGACATTGTCTACAATGTGAAAAAAGATGATACAATTCATATTTTTCGTTACATTAGACACACATTCTTCTATGGAATGCTAAAAGTTTACCAATTATTTTATTTTGTTTTTCATCACATAGTCAGAGTAAATGGTGATTACTGAATTATCGGTTGATGACAAACCTACACAATACACTTATTGAAGAGAAATGTACATTGTAAACAAATACAATGTTGGCGTCAAAATTATTTTCGAAACGTTTCTCGTTTCGAAATCGGTAAAAAGCAATTTACTCCTGGCAAAGGCGTGAAAAATTGTGAAATTTTTGTACGATATGTCATCCACTATTGTAAGTATAGTAATTTTTAAGGTAATATAGAGCTAGGAATCTGAATCAAAACTCTTACCTAAGTAAATGGGATACCGTTTACAAAAAATTAAAATGTCCTAACAATTTTGAAAAAAAAATGATAAAAATTTGCAAAAAAGCTCAATTTTTCATAATATTTTCAACGTCAAATTCGGATCATTGGTGGGCCGAATTCTTCTGCGTGAACCGTGGTGCAGCCACTAAATTGGAATAATTGCTGAAAAAATTTCGAAATGCCGATTTGGAGAAACACCCATTTTGGGGGGGCGAAATCGACCCTCCCTTCGTCCCGAACAAAATATCAATTCTTAAGTATATTTGCATGCTGATTCCGAAATTCGGGATTTTAGGTCAAAAAATCATATCTTGGGTTTTTGACCCCCCGACCCCCTTAAGGGATGGGGGGACTTGGAGGGCAGGGATCCCAATTTTTTTTTTCCATCATTCTGAACAACTTTGTAGTACATTATTTTTTGATCCGATGAACTTTTGAAAAATTGGGGGCACCCTCACCCCCCCTGGGGAAAAATTCAAAATTCTGCTCAGATAGAAATTTTCTATCTTTTATCCCCAACATACTCCCCAAAGGGTTTTTCAAAATTCCCACCCCCCTGGAAAACCCGATTATATGAGACACCCTGCATTTTGCTGCGCAATAAAGATTTTACTAATGTATTTCACCATCGCTTTGATTTTTGTGTCGCTTTTTGGCACCATATAATTTCAAATGTTTCCTTGGTTACGCTTACAGCGCATAACAGTGAAAGACCCTGGTTCGATTCTGTGTGAAAACAAAATATTTTTTCTCTTTTTATTTTAATTTTTGTTATATTTTTTCGAATTGCTCTATTTATTATGAATGGAAGAATCAAGAAAAAAAAATGATTCATCGTTCATTTGCTTCAAAAACAAGACATTTCGCCATAAAATGTTAATAAGATTTAATATGTCTAGTTTCAAATCAAATGAAAGATAAATATTTTTTTTTCTTGTTTCTTCCACTCATAAAAAATGGAGCAATGCAAAAAAACTATGAAATAAAAAAAAATAAGAAAAAAATATGAAAGAAAAAAAAATTGTTTTCACACGGAATCGAACCTGAGACTTTCAGTGTCATGCACCGTAAGCGTAACCACTGAACCAATGCAATGCTTAAAATTTTGAGGCACCAAATAGATAACTTGAAACTCATGGAATTCATAATTTGTATATACGCATTTAGATGAACTAATACAAATTAAAACAAACATCAACATACAAATAAGCTACAGAAAATGCTGCTTTAGTGTTTGTATTTTTGTATGTATTTTTGGAACATTGTTTTGTCAACGACTATACGTTGTAATGGACAAGTATAGTAACAGGGCGTCGTTCAAATAAATTTAAAAATCCGTCACTCGTGTCGACACCATCTAGCACGGTAGTAAGGATTTCATTGCTGTGTTTTTTTCTCTTTTTCGATTCAATGCAGTGTAACTAAATTCAGTTCAACTATTGAATGAAAGATGGCACAGATGAGGGGCATTCGCAGTTTGTCTCTTCATAGCACGGTCCACTTGCCGTGGTGAAAATACCTCATTTGAATGGGTCAAAATAAAAATCCGACTTGTACGCAGAGTCTACACACAAAGAAATTATACAATGAAAACTAGATGGCTTGTCGTATAAAATTCGGAACTAGTTGACACTACGTATAAAATTGTATTTTTCCTTCTAATTTCATACAAAATATCGTTTTTGAACCGCACAAAAGAGAATACACAAAAACGATGTTTGTTATGAAATTAGATAGGCAAATACAATTTTATACGGAGTGTCAACTAGTTCCGAATTTTATACGACAAATCATCTAGTTTTCATTGAATTACTTCTTTGTGTCTATAAAAGTGGAACATGGAGTTTTTTTTTACATAGTTTATTTGTTGTAATGCAACAACAATTCTATGTAAAAAAACGCTGTGTTCCACTTTTATACTGTCCCATTCATTTAGCTTGTTCAGGTTCATAATGTATTTTAATCATTGGGGAGCTGTGATCCCAGTCATTTCAGTCACCATAACAAATAAGCGTCGAAATAGTTAAATAATCATTATTATTACGATACATAGTGGCAAACGCCAAATATATACGGACCTACAACAGGGCCATTTCAGCGGTCTTCCGTGTTTTTCTTACAAGCCTCCCTTGTAAATGGTGAAAAAATCGCGAAAAATGAAAAAAATTATTAAATTTTTTTTCTTCGATTCTCAAATACTACCCAATTTTCTGTATCACCTGGTGAAATCAGAATGAAAAAAATTTGCGTATTTCCAAAGATATTTGCAAGTTTTTTAATATTTGTACACATTTGCAAATATTTGCCCTGATTTACGACATTTGTATACTTGACTGTGTAAATGCAGCTAATGAGAATATCTCATTTATCACGAAATTAAAAAAGAACTAATTAACTTCAAGTAAAAAATATTTGGAATTTTAATATTATCAACATTTTATTTTATTTTGTTGTCCGAAATATTGAAATCTAGGGGGAGATTGCGTGCATATAGTCGTGATTTATTGACAAATATTTGCGACACATTGCCCGAGTGAAAAATGGCATTGAATTTTTCAATGCGTAGTGTCAAACGGCATTTAAGCAATAAATCGA